AATCGGAACTAACATAGAATACGTAATAATACGTAAAGTGCGATTCAGATAACTAAACGTAGCCTTTTGGTAGTCGGAAAATAAACAAGTAAACCTAAAGGAACTTCGGAGTCTGAATTATTACCTACAATCTACAATTACAATCGGGATTGTCGTCAACGACGAGAAAAACCCAACATTATAAAACAAAGTTTATCACTAGTTCCGGAACTATCTATGGTACTAAAGTTAAACCGCCGAGACCCCTAGTTTAACTTCGGTACTAAAGTTATTTGAGGTTAGCTATCAGAAATATTTACGTGTATCTTCTATATTATTATAATTGTATAATGGATATTGAACCGATTGATGTTATGGATTTAAAAGATTTGGAAGATTTGGACATGTTAGAGACGTCTCGGCGATCGTACAGACGCCATCGTGTAAATCCCTTTGACTTGAGTGACGAAGACTTTCGATATAAGTACAGTTGTTGTTCCATTTCCAGTCAATCACAATAAACAATAATATTTATATAATAAAAAAGACTCAATATTTGTTTCGTGATTCGTGCTCTGCCGCCTTCTTATAAGTCGCTCCATTTCACGCTAGGAGTGTTAAAAAATATGACAACTTGGTTATAAAAAGCTCGTCAAAATACAAGTTGTGCTTGTTCACTATATTTTAACAAAAACAAAAAACAATTTATGATATAATTTTGTGTTGATACATGATTATTTAAGCATTTCAGGCGTTATTGTAATAACAATATTCAGACGAACGGAACGTTGCTTCAAATGGATCCTGAGTGAACGAATGAAAGAATGCTATTTATGCTTTTTATCTGTGGGACTATGGACTTTCTTTCGTACTAGCTGATCCCCGAATAGTCTTAATTTTATAATTGGAACAAATTTTAGTCCTGGTACTAGCTTTAATACCGTAACAAACCTAGATATTATAGTCCAGGTTTAAACCAGTACTAAGTCGAACTTTTGTAATAAGACGGATTATGATTACTATTATATTTATGTAAAATGTTATCTCAGTGACTATAAAGGTGAATATAGCTTGTATAAAACTAAAACATCAAAGTACGACATAGTACACACTATAAAGAAACTGTTTATTTTTGATAGTTAGATATGATATGATAACTTACTATGATATAATTTAACAATTTGGATATGATTAAATGTGTCACGAATGTAATTCAGTATTTGCACTGAAGCAGGGATGTCAGGCACTCACTCATGTCGTCCATTGAGGGCGCGGGCTGGTCGGGCGAGTAGTTGTCCTCGTCGCGGGGCTCGGACCGGGAGTCGCGGGGCTCGGGTCGAGGCTCGCGGGGCTCGGCGCCGGAGCCGCGCCTGCTGGTTGCTGCCGTGTCCGGGTACTCGTGGGTGTTCTTCATCAGCAGCTCCGCTATGTCTGAGCCTACCACCACCTACGACCAGCGCGATGTCAGTGCCGCACATACTGAGCTAATGGCCTGCCTAACGATGTAATCATTTCAATTATTGTTTAACCTGTGAATTGTCGGAACGCAGATGTACGCGCGACATAATGTGTTTTCTATTGCGCCTCATACATCGACAGGACAAGAGGTTAGGTAAACAAGTAATTTTAAAATGCAGTTTACGTTGCAGAGCTGCCACGTAGCTGTTCCTGGCAGTACTCACCCCGTTCTGACGCAGCATGAGCGCCAGCAGCTCCCACAGCAGCACGTAGCCCGTGACGTCACGCGCGCCCTCGTGGGCCGCACTGCGCGCGCGCAACTTGCAGTATTCGATTACACTCTTCTTGTGCGTTGTGCCTGCGACATCGTATTGACGGCTCGTTACAACCAGTCTCCCTTTATATGGACGTGAAGGTAATGACGACTTGAGTCGAGAGAGCGAACGGCTAAAGAGTGTTTACCTTTGAGCAGAGGGCCGGGGTAGGCGGCCAGCTCCGCCGCGTCCGGCCCTTTGAGCAGAGGGCCGGGGTAGGCGGCCAGCTCCGCCGCGTCCGGCAGCCGCTGCAGCGCCGCCGCCAGCGACAGCACGCGCACGGGGCCCGGCGCGCCGTCCGCCGGGTACCCGGCCGCCACCAGCACCACGTCGCGCGACGCCACGCTGCCCTGCGCACCACTCGCTATAGGACCGCGCCGCGCCGCGCGCCCGCGCCGCGCCGCGCCGCGCCGCGCCGCGTCTCACTTACCTTGCTGTGCGCCGTGGAGTACCGGAACGGCGTCATCCGCTCGGACCGCACGGTCGACTCCTCCAGGTGCAAGTTCAGCGACATGTCCGTGTTCAGGTCCCTGCGATACAATTCTGCTATAACCATACACGTCTCGATACATCCTATTACTGACTACTTATTAGTTATTACATAAACAATACAACCCGTGTAAACACCTTTATACGATGTCGGGAAACAAAATGAGAGCTATCACATCAAGTCGAGGTGCGACATGTGGACGGAAGCAGTGTCTAGCGATACCGTGGGACTATGTACTGGAGTACTGGTACCCCGCATATTTATGCAAATATTTTTTTAAAGTTAAGTTTTGAACCACACCAATTTTACGGAAGCGGCCCACGATCGACGCCACACGAAATAAATGAACAATATAAGAGTGCGGAGTGTCGTGACTCCGTCCATGTGTCCTGGACTCACGTGTCGTTCCCCTTGAGGCCGGCGGCGCTGGAGCGGCCGGAGTGCACGCTGCCGCGGTCCTCGCGCCGCTCCTCGTACGGCGCGCCGCCCAGCTCTGCGGGCAATCACACCCCTCCATATACGTACAACTTACGACCACAATGGGAAACAATATTAAGTATGCAATACATACCTGTGATCGGGGTGAAGTAGGACGGCACGGGCGGCGCGTGGCCTGCCATCAGCTGCTTGTATACCTGCATGTAGGCGGCGGGGTTGGTGAGCCGCAGGTGCTCGTAGTACTGGTACTGCTGCCGCTGCACCAGGTACGGGTCCGCGTACCCGCCACCCATACCGCTGCCATACTCTGCGGTTTAGTTGACCTCATTAAAACTTGTCTCCGAGCGGGAACCGTCGGGCGCGGAGTGACTGCCGTGCGACGTACCGTCATAGAAGGGCTCGACGGTGCGGCGCGCGCGTGCGCGGCGGCGCGCCTCGTGCGAGTCGTCGTCCGTGGCGGGCGCCTCGCGCGACTCCGGCCGCGACGCCGCCGACAGCTCGCCTGCAACACCATGCTGAGCTACTACCGGCCTCGCTCCACTCCCCACTAATGTCGTGTACACTCATTTTGTGTAGTACTCATACTCGCACCATATTTGTAATTGGCTCATTGGTACCTACGCCTATTGTTATTTTTATATTTTTTATAAGCTGTAAGGGCGCGTACACAAAATTGCGATGCGAATTGCTGCGATGCGATTTCATGCGAAGGCCTCTCCCAGGGTGACCATTCCTTCGACGACTACCAAGGTAGTCCACCGTGATGACACCCTTAGCATCCTAAAAAACTAAAGCCATATCACCTTGCCACCTGACAAAACTGTTTTGGATTTTTTGGAGTCGGTTCATCAGGTTTTTTCCTCTGCTTGGATTGTTGTTTTGACTCTGGGATGTAGTAGTATACCCAAGTTTCATCCATTGTTACAAATCGGGCCAAAAATGTTGTGGATCAGCCTCAAACCAGAGAGTAAACAAACCGAATGACGTCAGTTACATTAAAATAAATTAGGTATTTAGGTGTTAGGCCCCAACTTTTCAATCCACCCTCGTATTTCAAAATTGATAACTAGGTCGTGGCATGGATCGTAAAAAGAAGTGTGAACAGAAGTGCTGTTATTGCTTAGGAGATACAGTAAAAAGAAACAAAGAAGATTTTGGGAAGATAAGATTTTGATGCTCAATGCGAATCAATTCGCAAGTTCTTGGGATGCATAGAGGGAGCTCGCACTCGCATCGCAATTTTGTGTACGAGCCCTAAGTCCTCCAAGAATTATGTATAAATGAATAAATAGTATCGTGTACACTAGTGTCGTATACAAACAGTATCGTGTACAGTGTACACTATATTGGTAGCCGCACGCTGCGCCTGCCCACGTCAGTGAGTAGTGTAGCCGCAATATGTGTAAATCTTTCTTTATTTTTCGTTTAATCGGCATGCAGGTCATGTCCAGGCACCACACCAGTGTGGAAGTGTGGCAATGAATCAAAGTTTATCCGTATCGCTCGAGAGAGCGTACCTAGTGAATTAAAGAGATAAGATACATGTATTGAGGTATGTGAGGAGATACGAACATAACAAGTATCTGGCCCAGAGATAAACAGTGGCACTGTATCTGTAGTGTAGCGCATGTATGTTCACTGTAAATACGTGTGCCAATAGAAATGCGCAAACCATACAATTACCAGCAGTCAAGTTAATTCTAATTCATTTACTAATGAAGAAATAACAACAATTAATGAATGTTCAAGCGTACACGAAGAAAAACCTTAATTATTATTTATGTTAATAAGCTTCACTCAATATACGTAATGTGTTACATGTATGTAGAGAAATACTCCAGTTACCTAAAGTTAATTAACAGTTAGGTCTGTGGTAGTGTGTCGATCATAGAAACGAATCGCTGCAGATAGCGATACGAATCAGGTGTAGTCAAGTATGAAAGCGATCAGATGTGTTATCGGTTCCATGAAACGTAAGACATGCACAGTGAACTCGACAGTGCACAGCCTGCACAAGTCACATTCATACGAGAGCCTTATTTGTACCTTGTCCCAAACAACTATCATTAGTTTTTGCATCGCTCGAGAATGTCACAACTGCAAAATAAATATAGTATAACCATCAGTCCGTTAGTCGAACATTGCAAAGAAGATAAACACATACATTTAAATGATATATCTAAAATATAAATATAACATTCGTAGTTAAATAATACTTCATATTATTTAAAAGATATAGAAAACGTAACGGAAGGAACCTACGTACAAGTGCACAAGTAAGAGGCGTGACTGACCTCTCCTAGCGTCCTCGTCGCGCTGCGCGCGCAGATTGCCGTGCTTGCGCGAGGGGTCGATGTCGCGGTAGGCGCGCTCGTAGCGGTCGCGGTAGCGGTCGCCGCGCCGCCGCTCGCGCCTCTCGCGGTCGTCCTCATATCGTCTGTCTCGTTCTATCGTGTGGTACCGTTTGTTGCGGTCTCGCTCCTCAACGTACCGCCGCTCTTTGTCTTCCGGACGGGGCGGTTTGGAAGAGGTGTACGAGCCCTCGCGATGGCGCCTGCAAACACAATTAGAACAGTTAGTCTGAAGTACGCCTACATATGCCGTACTGCAGCAGTGGTCCGCTGCTGACCTTCGATCTCTCTCCCGGTCGCTGTAGTAGTCCGTGTCCTCGGTCTCGTAGCGCGGCGCGCGCGTGCGGCGGTGGCGGCGCGCGTCCGGGCTGTCGCGGTCGCGTCGCTCGCGCGGGTAGGCGTCTCGCTCGCGGCGCTCCTCCCTGCCGGATCTCCTGTCAGGCTCGTACTTTCGGTCGCCGCGAGAGTACCTGCCGTCTTTGTCACGTTCTCTGTCTCGTTCCCTCTCTCTCTCTCGATCGCGGTCTCTGTCCCGCTTCGAATCTCTATCTCTGGTCGACTTATGCTTGTCTCTGTCTCTTCTTGGCGATGATTTGAATGCTCTATCTCTTTCGGAGTCTTCCCCCGAAGTGTTAACTCTATTTAGAGATTGGCGCCTAGAACTTGTCGTAGGGTGGTCTATAGAATCTGATAAATCAGTCTTTCTGTCAGTAGGGATATCTGCGAGTGTAATATCAGCACCATCCAATACTTGTTCTCGGGAGTATGTTAGCTCTGTTGAAGAAATTATGCTCAAATCTTGCAGGTTTTCACCCTCCATAGTGACTTCTCTCTGCTGATCATCTGGTGGTGCGCTGAAATCCGGAGAGACGTCGTTACTGGACTCCCTAGCACCTATTATGTTCCTCTGTGGATTCCTGGAACTATGTTCAGTATAATCAGAACCGTCGACATTTTGTTCCCTCACATCTGGTGGCCCGGCGTCAGTCGGCATAGAGAAGTCGTGGTCCAGACCTGTGACCACGCGATGTTCGTTCGTGCCAGCATAGTTGGAAGTCGGATATTGCGGGTACTCATCGTTGCTTGGTTCGCCTGGAACCATTCTGTCAAGCCCTATAGGTCGTCTCTCTGCGGCCCTGGCTGGCGGCGCCTGTGTGTAATTGTCTGGTGTTTGTTGGCCATCAGCCTGGCGGTAAGGACGGGCGCTATTTTCAGTTGGCTGTCCGTCAATATGACGGTCCAAATAATTTTCTCCGGCTTGATTGTATGTATTTACAGATTCGGTCTGTTGACCTGGGACCATTCTAGCCAAGCCAGGTGGAGGTTCATCTCCGGAAATATTCAAATTTTGATTATATTCCGATTGTTGTTGACCTACTACCATTCGTCGCAACCCAGGCGGAGGCGGGCCTCTACTAAAGTCTGTATTTCCTTCATAATCACTGCTTGACAAATGTGCTGTTTGTAGATATTCGTTTCTATCATTTTGTGGGGCTATCTCCATATTATCGGGTACCTGTTGCGAGACAGGCAATGGTCGAAACGCTGATATTTGGGGCTGGTCTGGTCGTTCTGAATTATCTGGTGTAGTTTCTAGGTTTGCTTCAAAACCCTGTGACACTCTGTTGTGCTGAGACACTTTGCTAACAACTGCAGGAGATGCCAGAGTCGCACTAGGTGCAGGGAATGCCTGTGCACTTGTAGCACTAGTTGACACTTTAGCTATTGTTTTGTGAGAGAATGGGCCTGCATTCATTTTGAAAGGATTTTGATTTGATGTAGGTGGTGGGTAATTTGGAGGAGGTATTGCTGAGGAAGAAGAAGCAGCTGGTAGTGTAGAAGAGGAGGATACACTTGAAGGTAATGATGTAGATGTAACTGGTGGTGGAGGAGGCATGTTGGTAACAGGTGGAACCACATTAGATGCAATAGGACTTGGAAAACTGAGTGGAGACACAGCTGGGAGGGGATGTGTTGCAGGACCTAAATCATGACTGCTTATAGAATCATCGTTATGGCTCTGGTGTAATGTATCTGTTGATGGTTTTTTATGGTTGTTCAAATTCAGTTCTTGCAGAGACGCAGATAGCTCATCATGACTTTCACGTCTGCTGTTACTTTGAACATGGTCAGTGGGGGGTTCATCTGTTGGTCTTGACCATTCATTGTTCTGAGGGAAACTTTCATCAAGGCCCACTTGAGAATAATTAAAATTAGAGTTGTCTGTATTTAACCCTGGACTGCTTTTACTAGAGTTCCTAGATTGATTATCACTCCTATAAGTTCCTTCAGAGTGAGTGTGAGGCCCATCACTTGATTCTTGGGACATTTGGGATTCTATGGACCATTGCGGCGTTAAATTGTCTAAATGGAAGCGTTTACCTAAAGCTAGATTAGGCAGACGCTCCCTTACCACTTCTTTATCATTCAAGCTCCGAACTTCCTCAGTATGTGCGGGAGGCATGTTATTTACCGGTTCAGAATCAGAGTTACTACTTGCTGCAGGCTTTGTGGGAAGAGAGAAGGGTTCCTTATTTTCATTGTTGTGAGGGACAGACACAGGCGTCTTTGACTCTTTCTTTTCATCCATCGACCAATTCCAGCTATCAGTTGAAGCAAAACTCTCTTCTATAACATTAGCATTATTGAAGGCTGCCTGTTGAGGAGGTGCAGGTTGCTGGCCAGCATTCTGGCTGGCTTTCTGAGCTTGTTTAGCTGATTCCTCCCATCCCCAGTCCCAATTGTCTTCCCAACTGTCAGCATTGGGCTTATTTTGTTGAAAGTTCTGTTGTGTGGCTCCTTCAGTTGGGTAATAATTTTGCTGGTAACTTTGGGTTTGAGTGTTATTAAAACCTTGACTGGTGTAGTTCTGGTTGAACTGGTTTGGAGCTGGTTGCTGATAAAACTGGTTAGCATTGGGAGGATAGTCTTGCTGTTGGTAAACTTGTCCAAATTGCTGACCATACTGGCCCTGTTGCTGGGGTGGCATCTGCCAGAATTGCTGTGGTTGAACATTGCCTGTAGCTGTACCTGCTTGATAATTTGGGTACATGTTCTGCTGGTTCCCAAATGCCTGCAATGACATGGTTATATGTTAGTTCAATGAGTTAAAAACAGTAACCTAGTATATTCATATTGCTTACTTTCACATTGGCAAATGCCACAAACAAAATTTGCCAATCATTCTAATTAGAGTTGTGCAAACTTACTACCTGACATTGTTTGTTGCATACATTTCAAATTATTTACATAATACGAAAATAAATTTAGTAATTTGTTGTAAAGTTTAATGTTTTTATATAAATCATATGACAATACGGACACATCGGCGCAGTTGGTCCACGTCATTGTTTACGTCTGGCGGATTATAACCTACTCGGCTCACCTGTACCTGGGGTGCGGCGTAGGACTGTCGCTCGGGGCCCGGCGGCGGTGCCGTGCCACCCTGAGGCCGCTTCATCCAAGACATGCCGCGCGCTACCAGTGCTTACATAACATTTGCACAAGCTCCGCTCACATATGCTACAGCTGTGTCCGACAGCCCCGTCACTATCATGGAATTGAATCAAACTATGCAATTCACTTTCACTATCGCTCCAGATCTTGTATACTTCACTGATGTACAATATTGTGACATGCACGTGGAAAGAGCTAAACTTATCGTAGAGGAATGACTGCGTCTTATAAAGAATTTATTTAATAAATATTTTATAAAGGTTTTGTTGACAGCAGCCCATCGATCGAAGGTGCCCTGTTGGCAGTGTAGCCATTCTTTCCTGAATTTAAGTTTGACATTTCTTAGAAGGTGTTGACAAGTAATAAATTGATATTAAGGAACTGGGTCTGTATCCACCATAGGTATCTACTATAAAGATATGTGTATCAAGGATAATTAAGCAGAAGCAACAGCTTTTCCACAAACAATAATCATTTAAACTGACTATACAGTCAATAACAAACGAAAGTAATCACTAGTACCACTCGACACTGGCAGTATATTCAACAACATTGCATTAGAGACTTAAACTCGAATCGGGACCGGATTATCGGATGTTCGGCCACGACGGCCACCAAAAAAACATGTTAAAATATACTAAAATTTATAAAGTTTAGTATATATTGTTTAATCTATGTCAAAGAGTATAATAAGTATAAGGGATAATCTATGTATACAGCTTAGTCATGGCTTAGTCCCCTATAGAGTCCATTTCACGAAAGAAGTCCCGCAGACGCAGCGCTGTATTCGCGCGACATAATGTTGCCACGGTTAAATTTATATAGTATGGGGAAATCAGGAGAAATTGACATTAGTTTGATTAACTACGTACTCGAACAGTTCGAGGAAAATTTTAAAAATAATGTCTTTTTATATAGGTATTTATGTTTATACTGCTAAGGTCAGATTAGTGAAAAATTAATTTTCCTGTAATTTCTAAAATATAAAATGGAAATTGTTGAAGTGGTGGATGTGGTTGAATAATAGATAATAGCTTGTTACATTTCGTAGTTTTATTATAAAGCACACAGAAAGCACATGATGGGCGCCATGCAGACGACAAAAGGGAAGAACACAGATGACATATCGACGTCTATGAGAAACTCGCCAACTTGACACTAGATGGCGCTACTTATATTATTTAACTTAAGATTATAATATTTACCTTATTACAACACACCTTAAATTTATAATCTTAACATTTTATCTTACATGAACAGTATTTTAAAGTTATTACAGTTTTAATATTTTACTTAAACAGTACTTTAAAGTAATAATCTGAACTCTTAACTAAATTAATCTTAATTCAAACCTGTTTTTCAAAAATTTTGTTTTATCTAGACTCTTAGTCAATATATCTGCTAAGTTACATTTTGTATCAATTTTAATTATATCAATAAGTTTGTTTTCATAATTCTCGTTTATATAATGATATTGCACTTCAATGTGCTTTGAATTTTTAGTAAAGTTACCATACTTAGCTATTGCAATTGCACCTGAGTTATCTTCATACAATTTTATTGGATAACAAAAGTTTATATCAAATGACTCACTTAACAAATTTCTTATAAAAAGTACTTCAGTTACTGCCTCTGACAATGCAATATACTCTGCAAAAGTTGAACATTTAGTTACTGTATTTTGTTTACGTGTTTTCCAAAATATTAAATTTCCAAAAAATCTTATAATAAAACCTGTTGTAGACTTCCTATCCACATTATCCCCTGCATAGTCTGAATCAACCATACAGTCTAAAATATCAGCATCTGCATTATCATAATATGTTAACTTTAGATTCTTAGTTTTATACAAATATTTTAACACTCTCATTGCATATTTGTAATGTGTTCGGTTATAACAACTTTGATATCTACTCAAATAATTAACGCTGTACGCTACATCTGGTCTTGTGCCTGTACTAATATACAATAATTCACCTATTATATTTCTGTACTTAATACTTTCATCGACCTCACTAGCTTGCTCTAATTTTAAATTTGTTTCCATAGGAGTATCATATAACTTAGTATTTACCAAATTATACTTTGCAGCCAAAGATTCAATATACTTTGTTTGACTTAATGTCATCACATTTTTATCATCATTATACTCAATATCTATGCCAATATAGCTTTTAATTTTCCCCAAGTCTTTCATTGCAAATCTTTTCATTAAACTTGTTTTCACCTCTTTTATTTTATTTTTATCTTTACAACATATTAAAAAATCATCAACAAATATTAATATGTATATTGGATCTTTGCTTGCTTTTTTAACATACAAACAGTAATCATAATTACTTCTAACAAAATTCAAAGTTTTTATAAATATATCAAAACAATCATACCACACTCTAGGACTTTCTTTGAGACCATAGAGAGCTTTTTGCAATTTGTAAACTTTATTATCTCCTGTTTTATAACCTTCTGGTTGATTTACATAAACTTCTGACTTTACATAACCATTTAAAAAGGCTGTTTCAACATCCATTTGCTCTACAAATAATTTATTTTTACAACTGTATGACAATAAAATTTTCAAAGTTTGCATTTTTCCAACAGGTGAGTAAGCATTTTCATTAAAATCTTTTTGCTGAAACCCTCTCACAACCAATCTAGCTTTATATTCATTATTACTTTTCTTTTTAAAAACCCATTTAACATCAATTACCTTTTTATCTTTTGGTTTTTCTACAATTTGCCAAGTATTATTTTTATTTAAACTATTTATTTCAGAATCCATGGCTATTTGCCATTGCTTACTATCATTGGAGTTCATCGCCTCCTCGAATGAATTTGGTACATTTGCATCAATATGGTTAACATAAATAAAGTGTGTAACTGGATTACCATATCTAGAAACTGGGATTCTCTTTCTTTTCTGTGATTCTACTAAAACGTCATTTTCTCTATTATTATTTACGTTACTACTAGAATAAGTCTCATCTACATCTACAAAGTTTTCATCGCTTTCATATTCATTTTTAACCTCTTCATTTGAAACATCTAAAGTACTATCACTTTCCAAATCTTTATTATTTTGATTGTCTACTTTTTCCAAACAAATTAACTGAGTATTTTCTTCAATTACCTGTACATGCCTTGCATTAATTATTCTGTTATTTAACAAAACTCTGTAACTATTTTCATTATAACCCACTAAAATTCCTAGTTGAGCTTTATCATCCCATTTACTTTTTCTTAACACTTCAGGAACTCTAACATAGACTCTACTTCCATAAATTTTTAAATGCTCTACATTTGGTTTGACCCCAAAAAATATCTCATAAGGAGTTTTATTTTCAACTGTATTTGCAATAGTACGATTCTTTAAATAAGCTGCTGTTTTTATTACTTCAGGCCAGTACCTCCTATGTATTTTAGCTTCTCTCATTAAACATCTACCTATATCCATAGCAGACCTATTATACCTCTCCGCTACTCCGTTTAACTCATGAACATAAGGTGGACATGGTAACAACTCTATGCCCTTATACCTTATAAAATTATAAATATCCTTATTTAAATACTCTCTACCATTGTCACACTGAATCTTCTTGACTCTTTTATTAAATTTATTTTCTACTAAATTTATAAACTCTATAAAACACTTTGCAGTTTCAGCTTTACTTTTAATACAAAATATCCTGGTACACTTACTATAATCATCAATAAAGGTTAAAAAATATTTTTCTCCACCATAACCAGTTGTGTTATGTGGCCCATTCAAATCAGTATGAATAAGTTCTAAAATCTCAGTAGTTTTTGTTCTATTATTTTCAAAAGGTACATTAGTCATTTTACTCTGAATACAATTTGAACATTTCATTTCTGTGCTTTCAATTTTATCTGGCAAACCATCTACTAATTTATTATTTATTATCTTATTTAAGTATTGAAAATTCACATGACCAAGTGCCCTATGCCATTTTTCTTTCTGCGTTAACTTTACAGAATTTGTGCATACTTCATTTTTTAAGACATAACCTTTTAAGCAATACAAATTATTAATTTTATCAGCAACAACTATCAACTCTCTAGACTCATTATATATTTTAGCACTTTCATTTTTAGCTACTATTGTACAACTATTAGTTACCTTTGAAAAACTTAATAAATTTTGTTTTATTCCTTCGACATAATAGACATTTTCTAAATCGACATACTTCACACTATAATAGTTTTTGAAATACATTTTTACAGTACCAACTTTGGTTGCTTTCAAGGTTTTTCCATCTGGTAATTTTACATCAACAAAATCTTTCAAATCTACACTGTCATAAAAATATGAATAATCATTTATAAGATGGTCAGTGCACCCACTATCTAAAAGCCAATTAACTACATTACTATTATTATTAAATGTTACCTTTTTATTACATCCGGATACCTGGTTTACTTCTGGTTTACATACGTGAGCTGTCCATGACTGGGAGGGACCGTTGCTCGAAGATTCACCTTTAGGATGATTGCTAGATGAGTGGCCTTGACCTCTGCCTCGGCTGCGACCTCTGTAGGATCCTCTCTGATGTCCTCGCTGACCCCGACTAGACGACTGGAAACTTCCTTGAGAACTTTTTTGTCCTTGATTATTTCTCTGAGCGTGCCAACAATTCTTCTTGAGATGACCAGTCTTACCACAGACAAAACATTGAGCTCTTGTGGTGCTGGTTGTATATGTACTCACATTATTTTTCTTGTCATCGCACATAGTCATATTTTTCTCCTTTATTTTTGAATGTACATAGTCCACAGTCCTTTGTTCTTCAGGAATCACGTCCAGAAAATCTCCTATATAACTATAACTTGGTGGTAGGGCTCTGAGCAGGTATCTTAACTTTTCAGGTTCATCAATTCTACCTCCGGCTGTTTTGAATTCGTTTATGGATTTTTCAAAATCAACGAAGAAATCCTCTACTGTGTCGTAATTATTTAATTTGATCGCTTCCACTTTTCCTCGACATATAATTTGAAGAGATGTTGATTGAGTAAGATACCAGATGGAAAAACCTTGAAAGCAACCAAAGATGGTACTGTAAAAATGTATTTCAAAAACTATTATAGTGTGAAGTATGTCGATTTAGAAAATGTCTATTATGTCGAAGGAATAAAACAAAATTTATTAAGTTTTTCAAAGGTAACTAATAGTTGTACAATAGTAGCTAAAAATGAAAGTGCTAAAATATATAATGAGTCTAGAGAGTTGATAGTTGTTGCTGATAAAATTAATAATTTGTATTGCTTAAAAGGTTATGTCTTAAAAAATGAAGTATGCACAAACTCTGTAAAGTTAACGCAGAAAGAAAAATGGCATAGGGCACTTGGTCATGTGAATTTTCAATACTTAAATAAGATAATAAATAATAAATTAGTAGATGGTTTGCCAGATAAAATTGAAAGCACAGAAATGAAATGTTCAAATTGTATTCAGAGTAAAATGACTAATGTACCTTTTGAAAATAATAGAACAAAAACTACTGAGATTTTAGAACTTATTCATACTGATTTGAATGGGCCACATAACACAACTGGTTATGGTGGAGAAAAATATTTTTTAACCTTTATTGATGATTATAGTAAGTGTACCAGGATATTTTGTATTAAAAGTAAAGCTGAAACTGCAAAGTGTTTTATAGAGTTTATAAATTTAGTAGAAAATAAATTTAATAAAAGAGTCAAGAAGATTCAGTGTGACAATGGTAGAGAGTATTTAAATAAGGATATTTATAATTTTATAAGGTATAAGGGCATAGAGTTGTTACCATGTCCACCTTATGTTCATGAGTTAAACGGAGTAGCGGAGAGGTATAATAGGTCTGCTATGGATATAGGTAGATGTTTAATGAGAGAAGCTAAAATACATAGGAGGTACTGGCCTGAAGTAATAAAAACAGCAGCTTATTTAAAGAATCGTACTATTGCAAATACAGTTGAAAATAAAACTCCTTATGAGATATTTTTTGGGGTCAAACCAAATGTAGAGCATTTAAAAATTTATGGAAGTAGAGTCTATGTTAGAGTTCCTGAAGTGTTAAGAAAAAGTAAATGGGATGATAAAGCTCAACTAGGAATTTTAGTGGGTTATAATGAAAATAGTTACAGAGTTTTGTTAAATAACAGAATAATTAATGCAAGGCATGTACAGGTAATTGAAGAAAATACTCAGTTAATTTGTTTGGAAAAAGTAGACAATCAAAATAATAAAGATTTGGAAAGTGATAGTACTTTAGATGTTTCAAATGAAGAGGTTAAAAATGAATATGAAAGCGATGAAAACTTTGTAGATGTAGATGAGACTTATTCTAGTAGTAACGTAAATAATAATAGAGAAAATGACGTTTTAGTAGAATCACAGAAAAGAAAGAGAATCCCAGTTTCTAGATATGGTAATCCAGTTACACACTTTATTTATGTTAACCATATTGATGCAAATGTACCAAATTCATTCGAGGAGGCGATGAACTCCAATGATAGTAAGCAATGGCAAATAGCCATGGATTCTGAAATAAATAGTTTAAATAAAAATAATACTTGGCAAATTGTAGAAAAACCAAAAGATAAAAAGGTAATTGATGTTAAATGGGTTTTTAAAAAGAAAAGTAATAATGAATATAAAGCTAGATTGGTTGTGAGAGGGTTTCAGCAAAAAGATTTTAATGAAAATGCTTACTCACCTGTTGGAAAAATGCAAACTTTGAAAATTTTATTGTCATACAGTTGTAAAAATAAATTATTTGTAGAGCAAATGGATGTTGAAACAGCCTTTTTAAATGGTTATGTAAAGTCAGAAGTTTATGTAAATCAACCAGAAGGTTATAAAACAGGAGATAATAAAGTTTACAAATTGCAAAAAGCTCTCTATGGTCTCAAAGAAAGTCCTAGAGTGTGGTATGATTGTTTTGATATATTTATAAAAACTTTGAATTTTGTTAGAAGTAATTATGATTACTGTTTGTATGTTAAAAAAGCAAGCAAAGATCCAATATACATATTAATATTTGTTGATGATTTTTTAATATGTTGTAAAGATAAAAATAAAATAAAAGAGGTGAAAACAAGTTTAATGAAAAGATTTGCAATGAAAGACTTGGGGAAAATTAAAAGCTATATTGGCATAGATATTGAGTATAATGATGATAAAAATGTGATGACATTAAGTCAAACAAAGTATATTGAATCTTTGGCTGCAAAGTATAATTTGGTAAATACTAAGTTATATGATACTCCTATGGAAACAAATTTAAAATTAGAGCAAGCTAGTGAGGTCGATGAAAGTATTAAGTACAGAAATATAATAGGTGAATTATTGTATATTAGTACAGGCACAAGACCAGATGTAGCGTACAGCGTTAATTATTTGAGTAGATATCAAAGTTGTTATAACCGAACACATTACAAATATGCAATGAGAGTGTTAAAATATTTGTATAAAACTAAGAATCTAAAGTTAACATATTATGATAATGCAGATGCTGATATTTTAGACTGTATGGTTGATTCAGACTATGCAGGGGATAATGTGGATAGGAAGTCTACAACAGGTTTTATTATAAGATTTTTTGGAAATTTAATATTTTGGAAAACACGTAAACAAAATACAGTAACTAAATGTTCAACTTTTGCAGAGTATATTGCATTGTCAGAGGCAGTAACTGAAGTACTTTTTATAAGAAATTTGTTAAGTGAGTCATTTGATATAAACTTTCTAGAGTCCATTTCACGAAAGAAGTCCCGCAGACGCAGCGCTGTATTCGCGCGACATAATGTTGCCACGGTTAAATTTATATAGTATGGGGAAATCAGGAGAAATTGACATTAGTTTGATTAACTACGTACTCGAACAGTTCGAGGAATATTTTAAAAATAATGTCTTTTTATATAGGTATTTATGTTTATACTGCTAAGGTCAGATTAGTGAAAAATTAATCTTCCTGTAATTTCTAAAATATAAAATGGAAATAAAGATGTTCAACCAACATCAAATTAGAAACATAAAATAACATTTAAAAAGTTTTATTAAAGTTTTATTGAATAATTATGATCGGTCATACTATGATCACTGTCAGAAGAGTGAATAGAAACAGAATTAGATTCTGTTTCATTATCACTAGCCGTAGATATAATAAATCGATGCATTTCTTCATCCATAAGACCATCATTTTTTAAATATTCTTCCTCCAAATGCTGTACATGTTTGCATTGAACTGCCCAATCTTCCGCTGTAACAGTCTCGAACGCCTCTTCTGTTAGGCGTACAATTTCTTTTGGATCTTGGCCCACGTTTTTAACCGCTACCCGTCTGTTTATAACACACGACTCTCCGACACACCTGCAATAAAATGAACAATTAAAAAAAATCTAACAGTGACTTTTTCCGCATTTAATTATATTATTGTTGAATACAATTTTACAAATTTTTGTTGTGTTATGTTAATTCCTCATTAAAAAAACTTAAGTCTAATTGGTAAAAAATATGTTTAATATGGCAGCCCCAAAATTTACCTGTTATGGCGGCAACTCTTTTGCGAACATTGTCTAATGGTATTAAAACGCCGCGATTCTTCTGTTCCGCTTCACAGAACTCTTTCAATTTTAATATCATTTCTCGACCTGCACTTTTTACAACTTTTGGCATCGTAAATAAACCTTATAATGCACTAATTTAATAATAAACTCACAAAATATCTACCACAACAAACCCACCTTGACAACTTCGACAAACGACAACATGGCCGAACTCCCCATTTGTCAAATTTAGTTCCACAATTGTCCGCGGGACTTCTTTCGTGAAATGGACTCTACTTATTATACTCTTTGGTCTATAGAGTGAAGGAAGACTTTATGGAAATTTCTTTATAGTCTGTGAACTTCAGTTTGTTTTGTAATATTTGTTTTTTTTTTGTTATTGTTGTAAATCATCATATCCATCCAGAGAAATCATATTTTTTGATATTATGGCAAAGCGAACAAATCCATTTGTCGAAGACTTTATACCGCAAAGTAAAGTTCACATAGGCATGAAACAGTTCAACAATAATACTCAAGATCGACTGAAGCATGTTTATGGTAGGTACCCCCATCTATTTATGTTCTCAGTACGATATCAGAAATAAGAATATGTTTATGCCTCACTTCTTACAGTCTGCCTGTATTTATGTTAAAAATGTTATAAATGTGTAACTTTGTGTGTCTAACTCAAACACGTCAAAACGGCTGAAGGGATCGGGATGAAATTCGAAACAGAATAACACAGGCCAATTTTATCCCCCAGAACCACAGGCGAAGCCGCTGGCAGAAGCTAGTTTAAAAATAAAAGCCCTCATTAAGCATGTCTTGCACACTTCTGCTTTACTTTTTTATATTTAATTTCAGTGAAAAACTTTATACTGCGTCGTTGGCCGAGTGGTCGCAAGTGCGACTGCCGTGCAAGTGGTCTCGGGTTCAATTCCCGGGTCGGGCAAAGTATTACCGGAATTGTAAAAATCTCAGAAATAGCATGGAGTCTTGAAATGTGCCCAGTATTTGGCAATAGGCTCACCTCCTATTACATGGGACTCATAACATAAATAGTGAAAAGTGGGTGTTACATTGTACAACGGTAAGTGCCGAAATGTCCACCTCTGCCTACTCCTTTGGGGATAAAAAGGCGTGATGTTATGTTAAGTTATGTATGAAAAACTTTATCTATGCCTTTGTCTATTTAAATAATTGTTCTGTCCTTAGAAAAAACTTTACTACTGTTATTCAAGGGTGCCAAAAAATGTTCTTCCCAAGAAGTTGCACATCCCGAGCAAACTGCTTTGAGTACTTCAGATAAACAAGACAAAATGAAACAACTGTTCATTGGCAAAGATGGTACTCTCCTACATTCTGGCAAAATGGTAAACTGGAAATAATTATATTCTTCAACAAAGGTTAAATGATGTTAATGTGATTGTTAATTTATTGAATGCGTACATATTCATTATTGCAGGTAGACAATAAGTTACAATTAAAACAATGTGCCTGTGGTTGTACTGTGGAATCTCAGTGTGCGTACTGTGAGGTGAGCTTGTGTTGTGGCTGCCACCACATATGTGTGCATTGTGAGCGCTCTCATTGCCTACATTGCATCATGATTGGGTACGTATTGGATTTAATATATCATGCCCTAAATTTAACATTCATCCTTGAGCCTGTACTACAATCCTAAGGGTTGTGACCTCAATGGATGACATCCCGTAGACCACTGTTTGTCATTATATTCAAATTTATTATTAGAGAAAAAAGTAGTGTATTATTAATGACATTATTTTGCATTTTTCCAGATTGGAGGGTACTGAAATATGTGTGTCCTGTTACAGTTAGCCTGATATCAATAAGCTGAATGTTATAAAAATGTTAATTATTTGTAAGTTAAGTGTAAAAAGTTTCCTTAATTTATAGAAGACAATAAAACAAGTTAATATTAAACTGTCAAACACCAAGCGGTCACCGGTGACCGCAACCTATTGTTCTATAATTGTGTCTACAAAACCGGTACTCGACGAGTTAATGAATGTTTTATTGATGTTTAATAAAATAACCCCCCCCCCCCCCACGGGTTGTTGGGAGTTGGGAGGTAATAAGTTGGGGAGGGGCTCCCAACTTATTATTTCATTGTTTTTTGCATCATTACAGTGTTTGCCATTACAAAAATATGTTTTCAAACCTACAACAGGTGTTACAGTTTTTGGAAAAAATGTCTTTTAACAAAACCACTTGATTACCTATGTATATGTTAATCATAATATTTTGCTATATAAATTAGAAGCATATGATGTCAGAGGGAACATATTAGCATTATTAAAATTTTACCTCAGTAATCGACAGCAATGTATTCAAATTTCTCGCATATATTATGTCCAAAAACGTAGGTAGTACATGGAAACTGCTTACTCATCAGATTTTAGTGACATACTACAAGGGTTATTTATATGAATGATCTGCCTATTTATATTGATTATGATATGGTCCTATTTGCCGACGATAGCACAGTTATGTTCAGTGACAAAATTAAAATAATAGAACTAAATATTCATTATACCCTTGTTATAATAATTCAATGGTTAACTTATAAGTATAGTAACCTAATAATTTGCTAATAAATTTAGATTAAACTAGTAATATGATAACATTCAGGAACCAGAAAATAATCTGCACCATATTAACATAAAATTTTATGGATGTAAGATTAACGAAGTGGACTGACTGCAAAGTTTTCGGGTCTTCATCTTGATAGCAGTTGAAATTGGAGGAATTTCAAGTGCGAAGCATGAGTACAAAGTTAGGTCAATTCTCTTATGCACTGTGGATATATGCTTGGCAAAGTAATGAACCAATCTACTGTTATTAGTAGAGTAGGTAGGTACTGCATATCACGGGTATGTTGAAGGACTATTAAGGTAAGTACGGAGTCATCGTTTGGGGTAACTCGGTTGATAAAGATATTGCCTTTAAAGCTCAAGAGAAATGTGTCAGTGCAATATGTAAACTTACACTTACAGAGAATTGTCGCGGAGAACCTAACGGGTTACCGGGTTACCGTTCCGGCTCGACGTGCAGGAGAAGGAACGGGGTGGTTTTTAGTCAGTAAGAGTCTGACACCCCATCCCGCCTCATCCAGGCGGGAGCTGGTACTGCTGGCAGTCATTCGATGATTTTCCCCACTTAAAAAAAACACCTACAGAGAGTTTTAAGTGTAGTTCAGTTGATTAGTCGGAACTTATTAACCTTACCATGTATTTATATCTATGAGGTAGCCATATTCGTAAAGTTGCATATTTCAATGTTTGAACATATAGGTAATGAGCAATTACGACATAATAAGAAGGTAAGTATGCTTTCTATCAAATAAAACAAACATTGAAAAACAAGGGATTGTGGAATCTGAGGGTCTAAGAACTCTCAGATTTCACAAAGCTGAGATCACTCTCCGCAACCGATACATAAGTACCTACCTGGGTATGTCAGAAGGATTAGGCATTAATGGGCCGGACATAAGCAATCGTTACAGGAGCACTTCTTTGGCCGCCGGAATAAGGTACTGAAAAGTTCCTTATCTTATTAGGCGGATACAAGGTTCAAAAACAATTCTTTTGGCATACTCAAGTGGACCCAGACTGAACTTGACACCCTGGATAGGCGAGTCCGGACACTGCTGACTGCAAATCGCATGCATCACCCTCGTTCGTCGGTCATGAGGTTGTACATCCCGCGGAAGTGTGGTGGTCGAGGCTAAGTAAGTGCTAAGACCCTTCACAACCGTGAGGTGTGCAACCCCAGGGAATATTTCCTGAAAGTCGTATGCATAGAGAAGTAGCAGCGGTGGACAACGGATTCACTCCACTATCCTTGGCAAAAGAGAACTGGCGCAAACCTGAGGTAGATACTGAGCGTCAATGATCAAGGAGGTATGGCATAGTAAGGAGCTCCACGAACGCTTCTTCCGGACCCATCATGGGCTCAGTGTAGATTTCCTAGTGTAGGTACGTGTCCTGGCTACGATTCAATAATCTCTTTGGGGAAACTGAAGGATTTTTCTGTGCAATAATGGACGAAGTTATCCTTACGAATAAGTAACTATAAGAAATATATAATTAAAGATGGGACGGTTGACATATGTCGGGCATGTCATAGTCCTGGTGAATCCATTAGACATATTATTTCTGGTTCTGGTCGTTTGGCTAACAGTGAATATTTGCATAGGCATAATAAAGTAGCCAAAATTATCCATCAGCAACTTCAAGCTGTGCCCGAGCAAGTTCTGGAAAATTACCATATTACATTTCAAGCCATGCTAGAGGCTCATATTCGTGAGCAGCATTTCGCGACCCACGACGCGGCGACTGTCGCGCTGCTACTGGACTGGCTACTCGAGTCTGCGGGCCCAGCGCGCCCTCTGCCGTGATTCACGCTCACTTTCTTCCATTCATGGTATAGGCGACGGCGGCGCGCGTGGCACTGACTCGCCCGCCGGCAGCTGCGTTGGTGTTATTGGGTTCGAATCCCGGGTCGACGCAAAAACAGTGTTTCATACCGCGCTCACTGTGTCACACTCCAGACCCGCAACACTGTAGTCTGACGCAGATTTTAGAATCGGCTTCCAGGCAGGTGGTAATGCCCAGCCAACGTCTCTGTTGAAGTTCGGACGACGGCCAGACCGACACATGTCACATGTCAACGGATGACGTCACAAAAATCCTACATCGCACATACAAAGTTTACATGCAAATTAACACCGATAGAAAATCCCAACGAACAACTGTTGGGTAGAGAGCCCGCTAGGCACGATCACCTCGCCTGGTCGGAGGATCCGCCTTTTCCGATCTTAGGGAGCTATACTCTCTCCCTAAACCTATATTATTTTTTATTTTGTAAGTAATATTTAAAAATGTGTATGTCGTGGTGGCCCGGAGGTTTAAGACGCCCACTTCTCATGCATGAGGGTGCGGGTTCGAAACCTACCAACGGCAAGTACCTACCAATGTGACTTTTTCCGAGTTATATGTACTTTCTAAGATTATTTAGACACCACTGACAAACGGTGAAGGAAAAACATCGTAAGGAAACCTGAACTTATAATTTCTAATTATAAGTTTAAAATCGCCAACCCGCATTGAGCAAGCGTGGTGATTAATGCTCTAACCTTCTCCGTGTGAGAAGAGGCTTTGCTCAGCAGTGGGCATTTATAGGCTGTTGATGATTTAAAAATGTAATTTGTAGAGAATTTTAAATAAACACATGAGGTAAAATATAATAGTAATTGTAATTTTCACAAGATAGCACACTAAATGGCAGAACGTAGCTGATCAATTTATAATAACTACTGTAACATCTACATTTGACCTATATTCGTAACGATCGAATAATTTTTTGAGACTCTCACTCCCTAGGGAACATACCACACACCAAGATGCCTTACTACTTATAAAACCAGGTACAGTGTGATTTGGACTCGCGCACGAAGGGTTCCGTACCAATTCCTCATTGTTATGTATGACGGCATCAGTAATATATCGTCTGTCCCAATTTTAACCGTCTAGCTATCGCAGTTCTTCAGCAACAGCCTGGTGACAAAGCAGTCTTAATAAAAGGGTGGCCCTTTTTACCTATTGGGTATGTAACCCTATAATTAGCACTAATTACTACTTGTAAATAGTTATTATAATTATGTATTCTTATTCTAATTTAAATAAAACACAACGTTCCAGAAGGTGATTATATTACACAGATATATCACAAAAAGGCTATACAATGTAAATAAGCCACGAGCCTCAATCATCCAGTGTAAATAATGCATAAGTATTATATATACCTACATATTTTTTGTTAAACTGTATTAAATCGTTCAGGAGTTTGTGATACTGAGACCATGTATTCCTTTGTATTTATACAAATTTGTGCTAAACCAGGTCATCCACTAAATGTGGATCAACTGCTAATTATATGTAAATGGATACAAACTTTAAATTGACACGTGAGCAATAATTATATTCTTGCATATAATTATTTGTATCCTAGACAAAATGAGGAATTTAAACCAAAACTTAACAAATGTCGAAAACAATATATTCATTCAACTCCACACATGTTACAATTTAAAGCTTAATCAAATGATTTTTGAAAATATTGTACTACTTTATGCACTTATATTATAATCATTATAAAATTATGATCACACCGCGAAACAAGTAATATATAATTGCAAAATTCATAAGACACATTATTGGTACTTATGGTGTGTGCACATTCCATAACAAACTCATCATGGCTTATTCATGTATATAGAGGTAATTTAGTTCATTACATTTCCTTAGTACAAGAACTCACGAACTTTCAGAAGGCACACACATTAAGAAGTAAATTAAATAAATAGCAGTAATATACCTCGTCCCAAGTAAAAACATAAAAATACACTTTCGCTTAATTATCTAGTCTTAACACCTCAATAAAAGTAGTAACTGCGTACTGGCACCATATTTGAAACAATGCGTGACGATAGAGTAGTAAACCACAGCATCAGCGCCGCGCCGCTACTGCATACGAATCGGTACATCCATCGTCCGTGCGGTCAGACTGTAGCACGGTTTATCAACTCGACGACTCAACGGGCACAACCACCGCCTGCCATACAACGAGCATAATTCTCCATGCTGAACCATAATGACGGGGCAATATTTTTCTTGCTCTATACATCCCTTCTAGTTCCTACTACCTACGTAACATACGCCACTTGTTCTACAAGCGTTACAGCTCACATTCGTATTACATTGACCATTCTCTTTAAATTGACTACAGGAATCTTGTTAGTTTGTTACTGCTCATATAAAAGGACGACAATAACCTGTATGAATTATTTATGTTCTGAGTTATATGACAATATTATCTTATTTTAGATATGTATCTATAGTATTAACAAGTAGAGCATACAATACAGTACCACTACTGTTCACTACATATGACCTCAAATACATTCAAAGATTCTTAGTTGGTGTGAAATATTCAATAGTGTCAAGTTATAAAGTTAGCAACCACATCATCATGAGTGAGAGTTGTCTGACGATACTTGCCCGGTTTCTTAAATCTAGGTAATCTAGGTTAGAATAACGAGTCGTAGCAGCGTGGCGTGGTGGCGGCGGCGGCACTACGCGAACAGGTAGCGGTAGAGGATGGTGGCGGCCACGCCCAGCAGCAACGGTGTCAGCCACGAAGTCCACGTGCTGCACATAGAACATTTAGCTTGTAGTGCATGGACACTGCACTCTGAAGTGCGCGGACACTGAAGCCTGTAGTACCCGGGCACTGCAGCCTGTAGTGCGCGGACACTGCAGCCTGTAGTGCGCGGACACTGCAGCCTGTAGTGCGCGGACACTGCAGCCTGTAGTGCGCGGACACTGCAGCCTACAGCCTACAGTTGTGTCCGCGCACTACAGTGCGCGGACACAACTATATAACATGCACCTCCTACCCATGTCACTAGGTAAATTAAATGTTAACATATCAAGCTGTTATTGTGAATGAATATTAATATCCTGAGCTCGCAGATAACGAGAGTGCAAAGTCTCGTGTGCACAGTCCAAGGTGAACATAATTATGTATGATTATTAGATTGGTCTATACTTATACCCTGGAACAATTAAACTTTAAACAAATAATAAGTGAGAATAAGTGGTGACCTCTTGTCTGGGGCGAAATACCTACAATACATTATGTACTAATAAACAATTGAAATAACATCAGTGCTATGCATGGGTGAAAATGGAGAAGTATGTCATCTGAAGTCTAAAAGTGATTCTCTTGTATGTAATGTACTGTACTGTACTCGGAATATGGTTCTCACTGAGAACGGTTATACCGTCACACAATACTTTATAGCACATTACGGCTAAATATAATTTCTCTTAAAAAAAAAATAAGCACATGGGTCTGTGTAACTAAAAGATAACAAGGTCGTTAAACTAAAAATAAAAGGATAATGAAATAATGAGGCGTGTGTGTAATATATGCACTTTATTATTTTCTAATAACTAATAATAATACAGTGTAATAAATAGCATTTCAATAATATTAAATAAAAAAGCACCAAGTGACAAGGCTAGCGGCCTTTACATAAAACATTATTTCCTATTCTAACAAATTTTAATAAATACGCTGTGCATTTACTACAACAAGCAGATTTCTTACTCTAGCAGGGACATGAGAGATTACGTCTTACTAACAATTATTATAACAAGCAACATATTTGTGTTTTATCTTAGATACACTTACATCTATTACGTAAACTTTTACAGATCATTAACATCACAATTGTTTATTATTGTAAGTACTAGGGGTGAGTGGTGTACTGATGTATTACACAGAGCCACATGCGAGGGCGCGCTCGAGTACATACACAAGGAGATTCGCAACCGAATAGATGGAATGATGTCGCTACGCGTCGCCCCTAGGCGCTATTCGAGGTTGATGATGCGAGTTACTCTATCATGTCAAATAGCGTGTTCAACGAGATAAAAGCCATACGTTTACTCAATCTACCAATTGCTAAGCACTGGATCGATGACCTATATACATATAGTCAATGTGTATCGTGTTATACAGTCAGTATCGATGACAAATGAAGTGTATGATGTATTAAGTATGTACCATTACCATCATGATAATATTACTGACACCGCCACATTTATACCTACATTTATAACCTACAATACAATGTTCAATGCAACGTACAATGTTCTGAACTTTTTATACGTGAAGGGATAAAATATGCTGTTCCGTTAGATAAGTATTTCTCTGGATACATGGTTACATTATGAAGAAAGAAATGTGGCAAGAAATGGCTCGACAGGCGGTTAGTCAGCATTAGGCACAGGTGTATGTATATGTGTCGGTGTGTTAGCGTCTGGGCGTGAATGGTACTGTGGTATTAGGCGACTACGCACTTGCCCTGCTCCTGCGCCTGGTCGTTGGTCCATTGGGGTGAGAAAGCGTTCTTACTCTGCACTCGGTCTGCTTCCACTAGCTCGCCGATCTTGTACTTCTTCATTAAAGATCTGTGAACATTATCGTATGTCAATTATGACGCCATTGAAGGGTGATTAAATGTTAAAAAACTGGGGACGTAAAATCTGTATGTATGTACAGTCATGTTTATAACAAAATAAAAATTCTTATTCTATTATATATGTTTAAGCATTCATAAATAAATTAAAACGTTCGTAGATACGTAAATGAAAGAAGATTTCAGGTAGTATCGTCAATAAATTAAAGGATATTCTATAAATAATTGTATCAAAAATAAGGCTCGACCGAGATCTCGGTCCCGGTCTCGGCATTCTCGGCCACAAATCCAGTCGAGAAATATGTCTCGGTTCTCGGCCAATTATAACCGAGATTCTCGGCCACGGCCGAGATTGTAACTTTGTTCGCATTGGCATTCAATTTTTCAGCACTTAATCAACGGTTTTCACATGCAAATATCTATTTCTGATTAAGTATCAGAGGTTTTCATTTGTTAAAATTTGTTTGCCACTAGTTACTGCAACACTGATCGATCCACGGTTTAAAACCAAATACTTAACTGAAAGCGAGGTTAACTCAGCGAAACTTCATATTATCGAGACTCTAACTCTTAATGAAAACGTAGGATTAAGTTCCCGTGAGACGACTTAGGCATCTACAAATAACTCGTCAAATATGACTGCAACAAATCAACTCAAGTTATGGGCAGCTTATGATTCCATAGAGTTGGAAGACGAGTCAATGGCCGATGACGAATACATTTCAAGCTCTGTGATTCAATTATCGTTAGAAAGTTTTCTAAAAGAGCCAAGACTCCAAAAAAATACAAATTAATATTTTTGAGTATTGGTTTTCGTCACCTTATAAGGTGCTATTGCCCGCAGCAAAAAAGTTTAATCTGCGCCACCTACTAGCGTAGCAAGTGAACAGCTTTTTAGCAAAGCTGAACAATTGTATGACGAGAGGCGACACACTTTGAAAGGCGAAAATGCCGAGAAATTGCATTTTTTATGTAATAATATATTGTTATTTAACTTTGATTATTAATAAATTAATAGTACTGTAACAAAAATTGTTTTTTTCACACTTTGTCTACTCTCGGTCTCGGTCTCGTTCTCGGCCGAGAACGAAAAACACATCTCGGTCGAGCCTTAATCAAAAATAAAGGTAATTCTAGTAATAGCTAAACAATAGCAATATGTCTACCTGGCATCTGAGCTGTGGCTGACATCCTCGAAAGGCTCGGTAGCGTCCTGGCCACCCTTTTCCAGTAGCACCTCTTCACCACCGGGGTGCTGTGGACAACAAGCTCATCTGACACCACGTCCAACACATTACCAACCGGCTGCCTGCAGGCTAACATGGTATACTAATTAAAGAAAGCTTGTCTCACTTGGCTGACAAGTAAGCCGTAGAAAATTACTGTTAATATAAATATTGCATTAACGAGTCGCTAATATGTGTGTTAGGTAAATTGTTTTGCTTTTCTTAACCAGATACAATTCAAGAGTTGAATGGCCTAAGCTGGTCTTTATATAATACTAGCGACCCGCCCCGGCTTCGCACGGGTGCAATATGCATGATATAAACCTTCCGTAAGAATCACTCTATCTATTAAAAAAAACCGCATCAAAATCCGTTGCGTAGTTTTAAAGATCTAAGCATACATACGGACATACAGCGAAAGCGACTTTGTTTTATACTATGTATTGATGTACGTTGTATATAAGTCGTTAGAGTTCATTGCCCTGGCCCCTGTGTGTAGTATGCACAAAGTACACATCTCTAGCGCAAGCGCCTTTGTAGTTGGTCCACCACACTACACTGCAAACAAATTTACTTTGCTGATACGAATAATCAAAGTAGTTTCCACATGCATGCAAAGTTTCCCACGTATTTGAATATAATCTTGCTCTACGTGCGTTGAAGGTACCTACTGTCTACCTATAATTTATATGCTACAATGCTACATAGTTAATAGATTCGTGACCCAAATGAGAATATAATTTGGGTAATTTTAATTGAATGCCTATGTGTAGGTTGGTGTGTTTGTAATAAGTGTTATCTGCTACCCTACTCCCAGTCCCTACACATATCCAGTGTGTGTTACCTATGAGTTCATAAAAGCTGTACCTAATGCTTTTATAGATGGACTACATAGAATAAAACAGTATTCGATGCACTTTTTCGAAAGAAACATAATTTTTATGCTTACATAGTTTTATGGAAGTTTTATATTAAACATACATATTTCCTGATACCTTAATGACTATATTGTTATGCCATATACCGGGCACGATTCTAAACTCCGTGTTTATTAGTGAAAAAATTTCAAAATACCGAAAATGCTGCAATAGTAACACGAACGATAAATCCAGTCATCCATCACAGTAGCAAAAAATAATATTTAAACTTCAAATATCGCTAGGTAATTATCGGTTTAGTACAAAAACAGTTCGCTAGCAATAAATAGTAGGTAGGTAGATATGGATCAATAGTAATTTCGGCCCTTGGCAGGCGCCGCGCCGCGTTCATTCAGGCTGGGAATTTTGATATTCCGATCTAAGGAATTACGTCGCGTTGGAATTTCTCATTTAGCTTTAGGACTGGAATGCAGAGATGGGGACTGAATGCTGAGCGAACGTGAGGCCGGCTCAGTTGACCTACATCCGGATCTCAAACCTGTTTTTATTTGTCAATAAACATGCACAACACAGGAATGTTATAAAAGTTACTAAAGACTACTATGTAGTCTAGGAATCACCTTGTCGGACGTCTTGTCGGACTTCTATTGGGACAACTTTGTACGATGACTTGACAACTAAAGTCTCCGTCGTAGACTAAGACAGATGGCCGGGTGTCATCACTGCGAGGACCGCCCTGAGGACACGGTGGAACACACAGTGGGAGAATGCCCTGCGTGGGCTGAGCACCGCCGTGCCCTCAGGGAAGTGATCGGCGATGGCAACCTCTCGCGTCCGGGCCTAGTGCAGGTCATGATGCGGAGCGAGGGGGAATGGGATGCCGTCCCCTCCTTTTGCGAAGCAGTTATGCTAGCTAAGGAGGAGGCGGGACGCGTGAGGCAGCGAAGCGCTGCCTCCTCGCAACCCAGCCATCGCGAAGGACACACCGGGTGTCGGGGATCGCGGGACGATCTCCGGCCACCGTAAGCGCGGGCCTGCAGACGGCGAGCATGGGTGGCTCCCCGTCCGACCAGAAACAGACCCGAGCGTACGGCGCGTCGCGTTCCGCGCGTCGAGGAGAACCTAACGGGTAACCGGGGCTCCGGCTCGACGTGCAGGAGAAGGAACGGGGTGGTTTTTAGTCAGTAAGAGTCTGACACTCCCTCCCGCCTCACCCAGGCGGGTGCAGTCATTCGATGATTTTCCCCCCTTAAAAAAAAGACTAAGACAGATAGGTATAAGTAGATAAAACTGTACACAATCAACTTGCAACTCGTGTAGTGACGCGGCTGCTGCGTGCTGGTGGGAAGCGTTAGCGTGTATACTTTGTGTAGTAGCTTCAATACGGCTACCCAGCGAGTCAGACGAGTCAGTATGTAATTTTGGTGAAGCTGTTCAACTAGTACAAAAACCGTAGAGGTCACTGGTAACCGGCACGTCGCGGCGAGTGCCGGGCGCAGCCGATAAACGATTTGCTTACGACATTTGGTCGACGATAATGTATTTATAATTACCTAACTACAAATACATTTATTATAAATGCTGAATAAAAATAAAATAAATCAATGAGTCCTTTAATTAGGTCTAAAGTTTCAATACCAACTACACAAATGGAAAAGTAAGAAATTCAAAGTTATCCTACTAATATTATAAAGGTGAATGTTTGTTTGTCAGTCCTACACATCAAATGGGCTGAAACGTTTTATCTTACATTTAACCTCTTGTCTGTCGGTATATGAGACACAATAGAAAACAAGCTGTATCTTGCGTAGATTGTATTTTAATGCTGTCTTATTCTACAGAACTACTGGTTACAATTTAATAAGATAATTAATTGTGTTATATTGTCTATTTATCGAGAGAGGCTATAAAATTTCATCTTATGATCGATAGGAGCCAGGCAGCCATAGCACCATCGGAGTAGGTGGTTGTATATTATATTATTATATGCACCAGGGTGTGCATTCCTGTGAGAATGTGTATTACTAATTATTAAGGTTGTAGAAATATGAAATATGTCAGTAAACTGTAATAATATAGTTCCTCACACATTCATTTGAACCTGTCACAATATATTATCTAACAACTTGCAAAATAATATGTTGAAGTACAAATAGCCAAACATTCTGCTGAGTAAGAAAATAAAAATTGACAAGTAATGTTCAATTAAATATACTGCTGATAAAGGGTCAGCAAACACTATTCTATACTATGTATTATTAGAAGGATAATTTATTCATAACTATATACCTTCATGCCTTTTCATACGCTCGGCTGAGCTCCTATTGATTGTAGTGGGATGTTTTATAGCCTATACCATTCCTAGATAAATCGACTAACCAACAAAAGGAATTTTTCAAATATTGGTCCAGTAGTTTCTGAGATTAATGTGTTCAACAAATATACTTCATATGATACACACTATATTAAACTATAATAGTCAGCTTTAAATAATAAAAAGTATAAGATTTTTGTTTGAATCTTTCAATCAATTAGAAGTGACTTCACTAGGCGAGATAGTGGTTAAACATCGGCCCACCAAATATGTATGTATATGTATGTATTATTAATTACATTTAAAAGAAGGTGAAATAATTAATACAAAACCTACATACCTACCTAACTATAAGATAAGATATCACACTTGATATAGGTAAATTATAAGTTATTAAATCAACACTGACCTCTGCTAGGAAGCTGGTGACGTCGTACACCTCGTTGTGGATGATAAGGACCGCGTCATTGCGCGTGCACCGTGACTTGAGCTCCTCCCGGGTGAACAACTTCGGTTTAGGTTGCTCTTCCATAGTACTTCACTAACCACTTCTCGGAACCTTAACCGCGGCTGAGATTGAATAATTCATGATTAAAACACAATACAAGCCAGAGTTGGATACATTTTAATTAAGAGTGAAATTCAATCAGTCACACAGACGTTGACGACAGATTAAATTGAATCATTATCTAGATTAAAGTTATTAGGAAAAGAAATACATGTTGAGAGGAAATAAATAATAATAAATCAGAAAAAAACTCAAAATAGTACTCACACAAGTCCACAACTGAACCAACTGAACTGAAATGAATGAATATGATATTTAATTCCAATCAGACGCTGACTGACGTGCTGCTGATTTTGACACTTATTTGACAGTTGATATCCGACAACGACAACGACAAGCGTAGTCTCGTCATAGATTTATTATAGTCTCGTCTACGTTTATAGGTCTTTTGTCTATACTTCTATAGGTACGTACCCTTTCCATACTCTTTCTTTGCTTTACTTTCTTTCTACCATAATTATGTTGACAGTTGAAGCGGGAGTTGGAGTCAAACACAGCTGTACAGTTACAGTCACGGAATATAGAATACAATGGAAGTAGCTTGAAACAATATTTCTGCCAGAACCGGTGTCGCCAAACTAATACATTTATAATTTACTCATACTATAAATCGGAAATTACGATTGGTTA